TATAAATTTTCATATTTCGATCAACCTGTAGTATTTTCTCGTTGTGTAGTCGGCTTTCCTCTCGCATTACGCAAACACCTATGGCAACTCTCCGCTAACCTAGAGCACCAACTAATTAGCGTTTCCAAGGACTAGTTCTGCACTGGCTCCCGACACGTTCATGCCTTCGAGATAACTGAAAGATGACTAAACTTGAAGAAGACTAACCATGCATTCTCTAGAATTGTATGCGGTACCTGACTATACCAGAAGCGGCACTTTGCGGTTTACCCATGCGCACCATCAACGTTCCAAACAACAAAAGAGCAAGGTGGCAAGAAGGTCGAGCACAGTCCAAGGCAATATGTTAAGTCTGCTACTGACCCATTGATATGGTCAGCGAACTGTACAGATATCCATGTTTCAGAGTGCGACATTTGCATGTGTGGAATCATCCCTCGTTGATTGTTGTGAATTGCCCAACGACGAGGAGCGGCGGAACGAAAACGATATGATCCCTCACTAAATTATGAAAGCATCCCGTCACTCAAGTTGGAAGTCATCTAGTGGTAATTGGTATGGTACTGGTCTTTGCCTCTGACATCTCGTAAAGCTATCAACGCCACGGCCGATCTAGCTAGGTGAACGCCTATTATTCGGCCGATTTCAGGAGAAAAGAAGTACAACAGTGACCTTTGAAGTACTTGCTTCAACCCATAATTCTGGTGAGCCGCTTTCAATTATGAACCAGTTAAAAGCATCTTTGTTCTTGTATTGCCAGTCAGTGTTTTCTTGTTCACACGAAAATCTAGGTGAGACTGTTCTTATTGAGAATAGTTTCCAAAATTTGAACAAAAGTTCGCATATTACATTATGGGTTTCCAAATGACTAGAGAGATTTCTCGTGATATCATGTGTCTAGTTCCTAGTTTCCAAAGCCATAGACTATGAATATTCCTGGTATGAAATTCCATGTTGACTCAGAACGAGATGTACGTTGTCGACTCAGCTGCTGGAAGGAAATTGTTGTTGTTGTATTTAACGCCGTGGCGGCAAGGGCGCAGCCGCCCTTGCGGCCGACCTCCCGAGGGGTATATGGCGTGGAGGGCCGCAGGCTCAAGCTATATACTCTACATTACACGCCTCTTCCTAACGTCCTCCAAATCTTGCCCATAGGCTACTATGTGTTCTATCCGTCCCTAGTTCCCGCTGGTTCCCTGGTTCCGTTATACTCGTCAGTTCCTCTACGAGGAGGGGGTTCGTTACTAAGGCCTAGGTTCAGACCTGGGCCCTAGTACCGCGGGCAGATCTTCCGGAAGAAGTCTGTCACGCAGAGAAAGGCCTGGAAGCCTTCATGATCAGTGATTAGCCCCTTGTAGTATCGATCCAGAGATCCTATTGGTCCTATAGGCTCCTGTGGACTAGAAGGGTGGAGGGTCGGCCACTGAAGCCTCCTCGCTAAGGTCTTTCGGCAGTAGACTAGGTGGTCTGCCTCCTTTGCCTCCCCACAGGAGCAGGTAAGCAGTGCTTCTGTATGGTTAAAGCGTTGATGGTATTGTTCGAAGTCTCCATGGCCTGACCGGGCTGCTAGGAGATGGTGGAGTATAGCCCGTGGCAGGGCTAGTTCAGGGGGGCAGGCGAGGGAAGCCTTAAGCCCTAGTTGGGTATAGCGGGGTGTTGCCTCTTGCTTCCACCATTTTCTATACTGGCGGCATATACGTTCTCTAGCTAGCCGTTTGATCCCTGACAGGGTGGCTAGTTGGCCCCTAGGGGCTGGCAAGGTTGTGCCCTCCTTGGCTAGGCTGTCTGCTTCCTCGTTCCCTTTGATGCCTTCATGCCCTGGGGACCAATGGGTTCGTATGTCATGGATCCTAGCTGCCTCTTGGATCTCAAGGAAGGCCGCTTGTGAGGAGTCTGGGACCCTGCCTCGGATTCCCTGGATAACGCTGGTATTATCGATACAGATGTGTATAGGCTGGCCCTGGGAGGTAAGGAGGGCCCGTCGGAGCCCTGCCCTCGCCCCCTCAGCCTCCCCATCAAACACTTCTGCTAAGCCAAGGCGGCCGCAGCCCTGGGCTATACGTTTGTTCTTACGGTATATAACAAAGCCAAACCCTGTAGCGCCATCAGGGGCCTTAGATCCGTCTGAGTAGATAATAGTATGCTTATCTGGCACAGTCTTAAGCCAGGCCTGGAAGATCCTTGCTGCTACTTCCTTCGTCTGTGTGACTATAGGGTGGTGAGACCCGGGGGGGTATTGCGGCTGTAGGAGTGCTGGCCTTGGGCACTTAGGTAAGAGGCCAGCTGTTCTTTGGAGCCTGGTCTGCTGCCGCCCTGGCTGTAGAAGCCTTGGGACCAAGGGATGTTGTTGGTCAACCTTCTGTAGGCGTGTAGCGAAGCGTAGTCGCGCTGCCTCAAGGGCCACCTCTGCTGTTGGTAGGCCAGCATCTCGGATGAGGGCACTGGTTGGTGTGGTCCTCCAGACAGGTAGGATAGCCCTTGCTGCTGCTGTAATAACTCTTCCGACTCTACAGGCTAAACCCTTCTGCCCTGTGCCGACTATACTGGTGCTGCTGTTCAGGGCTGGTCTGGTCAAGCCTGCATACCAGGTCTCAGCTCCATATAGGGCTATTGGGAGGGCGCAAGCAATAGCTGCTTTTCGAACTGCAGCTGCTGGGAGCCCCCCTTTTGTGTTTGTAAGGTGCTGTAGGAAATAGGCTACCTTCTTTGCTGCTGCTACCTTTATTCCTACATGGTGTTGGAAGGAGAGTCTCCTATCAAACCAGACCCCTAACCATCTTATAGGCTTTATTGAGGCCTTAATAGTTAGGCCTCTGGCTTGGATATCTGGTAGGTCTGTTGTCTGTTTATGTTTTCTGCTGAAGTGGATTGCCTCACACTTAGCTGGATCAAAGGCGACTTTATTTTCTGTTCCCCAGCTGAGGATACTAGTGATCTCCTGGCCTAGGGCTGTAGCGTTCTCTTCTAGCGAGGGGCTAGTAGCTACTAAGCCTATATCATCTGCATAGCCAAACCGCAGCTTCCGATCATCAGCTAGGATATCAGCTATATAGAGCAGGAAGAGGATAGGGGACAGTGGAGAGCCTTGCGGTAGTCCACAGGATAGAGGGAAGTCCTCTGTAGTAGTATCCTCTAGCCTGACGCAGGCTGTTCGGCTGGAGGTGAAGGTGTAGATCAGTCTGATCAGGCTACTAGGCCAGCCCTGCTGTCGTAGCCTGACTATAAGTCGGTTTCGTAAGACGGAATCAAACGCCCCCTTGACGTCCATTGTTGCTAGCGTCGCAGTAAGCCCTGTATCTAGAGCCCTCTCAATCTCATGGGTTAGACAGGTTGTCAGGTCGACTGCAGCCCTCCCTGGTAGGGCTCCAACCTGCTGTGGGCTGGCAACCCCTTCTAGGATAGTAAGGTAGGCCATCCTCTTTGCTATCAGCCGCTCTAAGCCTTTGCCTAAGCAGGACAGCAGGGATATTGGGCGCCAAGACCCAGTCTTAGAGAAATCTGTTTTCCCCGGCTTCTGGATCATGACAATTTCCGCATTGCGGAAGGGTCTAGGAAAGTAGCCTACTTGAACGCAGGCCTGGAAGAGCTGTTGTATAGGCTTGGCTACTAATCCCCAGGTGCATTGTAGCAACTTTGTAGTAATCCTATCAGTCCCAGGGGTTGTAGTTTTTGTCAGAGTAGCCTGGCGTACTTCCTCTATGCTAACTGTATTCTGCCAGGGTATAATACGACTTATAACCACTGGGGTAGCAAAAGGGTTCCCAGATAGGTCGTCTGTAGCACTAAATCGCTCTAGTAGAGCCTTCCGCAAGGCTTGGGCTTTATCGTGGGTATTGCTGATCGTCTGCCCTTCCACTATTAGAGGCGGAGCTTTAACTGCTAGGCTAGACTTCCGCCAGCCTATAATTTTATATAGGTCTTGGTCTGTCTTAGCCTCTTCGATCTTAGCAGTCCAGTAGGTGCGTTTCGCCCTTCTCACAGTTGTTAGGAAGACTTTTTGCTCCTCTAGGATAGGGGGAGGTATGACCAGCCCAGGTTCTTGGGCCTGTTGGCGCCTAGCCTTAATAGCAGCTTGGTGGGCTACTGAGCATTCTTCTGTCCACCAGGGGGCTCCCCTACCCTGATTAGTCCGTCTCTTGCCTACGGCTTGAATAGCTGTATGGAAGAGGCTGACCAGTTGGGCAGCTAGGGTGTCCAGCTCTGCTGGGCTGGGCAGTTCCCCTAGAGTAGGTAAGGCTGTAGCCCCAGCCTTTACTAGGTCGATCAGCCGTGGTAGGGCTGACTCTGGGACTGAGAGCTGGTTAGCCCGGCGTCCCTGTTCCTGGGCCCTACTCATAGGGATAATTGTTGTGATGGCTTTGTGGTCAGCCCCTGGGTGTAGGTGTGGGCTGATATAAGCCTCGGTAAAGGGAATATTTGAGAGGGTTAGGTCGAGGGTATGCCCGTGGGTATGGGTAGGGGCCCCAACCTCCCCAATAAACAGAAGATTGTAGCCTTCCGCCCATTCTGCAATATCGTCTCCTCGATTCCGGCTAGGGGACCCAGGTTCCCAAGAGGAGTGGCGGGCATTAAGGTCCCCAGCGATAAGGGCTCTCTCTGGCGGTTGATAGTCTAGAAGGAGGCTGGTTGCTTGGTTTATAGGCTCATCTGGCGGCCTATATATGTTCATAATAGTGAGGTCGCCAGCTTTCACCCATAAGATATCTCTTGATTGGGTAGGTCTTTGTTGCTGTATTTGCAGCCTTAGACCTTTGCGTGTGAAGGTCATAACCCTAGGCCTTATGTCTCTGCTGTTCCAGAAGTCAACTGGTACGTAGGAGTCAAAGCCTGGGTGTGTATTAATCTGCATCTTATCTCTATAGCCTATCCAGGGTTCCTGGACCAAAACTATGTCGATCTGATCTGCCCAGCAGAGCTCTAAGAGAGCTGTATGGGCTGGGCTCCTCTTCCCCACATTACACTGGGCAACTCGTAGTACCTGTGGGGTAGCTGGCCTGAGCCTATAGCTCTGAGTCGAGGTCGAGGTGGGTGTAGGCATTAACAACGTTATAGTCAGGCTTCTGGGCTACCCTCTGGCTCCTGCTGCTGCTTGGGAGTGGATGGATAGGGCGGTTAGTTAGGGGGGGGAGGGCTTCAGAGTCTTCAGCCTCATCCTCATCCATACTGCTGCTCCCAGCTATACTAGCAGTATCTGCAACAATAATTGAGTCTTGCGTAGGTGTGAGGGGTCGAGGGCGCTTAGAAGTAGCGCTTGGCCTAGCCTCAGCTTGCTGTGTGCTGCTTCCTGGGGAGCTAGCCTGGTTTGCTAGAAGGTCGTTAGACGCCTTCTCTCCAACCTTCTGGATCCCTCGCAGTTCTTTCTGGGTTGGAATAGTAAGGTTTCTGTTAACCAGTAGGGGCCTAGCTGGGCAGTCTGCATGGCTTGCTGGGAAGGGCCCATGACAGTTAGCACACTTAGGCCTAACTAAGCAGATCCCAGCCTCATGAGTATCTAAGGGTTTGCTATAGTTCTCGCAGAGGGGTTTCCGGGTGCAGTAGCGGTTTGAGTGAAAGCCTTGGCAGCCAGGGGAGTGTCGTTTAGGGATATGCTTCCTCGGGGGGAGCAGACGAGCAGGACCTGACTGTCCAAACAGGCGGAAGCCTTCCTTAACCCATTGAGGGAGGGCGATAACCAGGCTTTGCGTAGCTGTAGCTAGATCAGGGCTATCCCAGGTTGGGCGCCAGGAAATAAGTCTTTGCTTTGTCTTTAGGAAGACCTCTTCCTCTATTTCAGATTCTATGCTAACCTTACTACCATCGAGGCTAGTAAAGTAGAGGGGGCAGAATGGGACGATATACTGATGCCACTTAGTGGGCACCTCAACCTTCTCAGCTGTAAGGCAGCTTTTGATCTCAGGGGCTCTCTGGAGAAGTAAAGCTTGGATCTCCTTGTTCTGGGGCTGAAGTGAGAAGCCTGTAGCAGTATGGCGGACCTCAACTAGGTCTTGCGGCTGTAAGTTAAGCTCTCTTGTTACCACCATCTTAACTGAGTGAGGGGCTAGGGTTCTGGAGGTAGGGATGTGTTCTGCAGGGAGCCGAACTAGTAGGCGGAGGTCCTGGGTCTGCTTAGGCTGGCGTGTGCGGCTGGTGGCCCGCCGGCCTGCTGCTGGGTTCAACCTGGGGCCGGAGCCGGGGCCGGGGCCGGGGCCCCTAGCGGTAGAGTTACTAGCTGCCTGGGCATACGTTTTTCCACTGCCGGGGCCAGGGGTGGGTCCAGAGATTTCTGCGGTTGCAAACCGGGTAAAGGTATCGATGAGGCCCTGGGCTGTAGCCTTCAGTCGTGCTGGGGCCGTCCCAATGAGGGCATCTAGGCCTCTGGCGAGGAGGTCCAGGGCCTCATCTCGGAGGGCTTGACCCTCTCGAGCCTGCTGGAGGGCGGCGGTGGCCGATCGTGGCCCCCTTCCCAAGGGCCGGTAGGGGGGGGCGTGAGGCCCCTCGGTCGTGGAGGTAGGGAGGTAGGGGGGGGAGGGGTCTGGGGGAGACTATGCATAGAGGATGAGAGACCCCTAGGGGCCTGCGAGGGGCCCGCGGCCGGCTGTGAGGCCATCGCGGGCGAGGGTTCCGGTTGTTAGGGGGTTGATTTGGTGGTGTTAGTGTTCAGGTTGCGGACCCAGCACGGCACTAACAGTGGGTGCCGGCGGGATTGTATGTAGGAGGGAAGTGTGCTGGAAGGAAAGATAGGAGTATAGATTGCATTTCGGCTGAAATTGACTCGGTCTGCGCAGCCAGTTACTTGGTGATCTGTGATCTAGCTAGAGACTCTTGATCAATTCCTTGATTTCCCCGTCAGAAAGTTCCTTCACGCCCAACAGTGCATTATCATCCTGCGGCCAAGGCGAAGAAAAGTCCGCCCTGGAGTTTGCATACTGAATCATAGTTGCCAGCACGCCCAGGTTAAAGTTTCCAGCCTGGATCTCCTTCATTGCCCAAGCAAACTTCTCCTCCATGTCCGACTTCGTCTCCTCCCATCCGTCAGACCCCAGAGCCTCCTTGCAAAGATCTGCCATCTGCCTCTGGCTCTTGTAAACAGAGTGAACATATAAAGGGCGGTTCTCCGTTTCAGCGGGGTGTGACAGGGTTCCAGACACTGCTTTACCGACAGTCTCGAGGGTGGTCCACGCAATTACGTTGCTCCCGTCATTCATGTAGTCGATTTTCTTCTTTTGAATGTCAATGTTCAAGAAGCCAGTGCGTAGACAGAAGTCCAAAAAGGCGCCGTTGCAAACAATGCTCCAGGTCATGCTGGTCTCTTCGCACTTCTTAAGGAGGTACTTGTCGTTCGCATCTTTCTTGAACCAGATGGGCAGAGTGTGGGGCTTGGGGTTGTTGAAGTCCAAGCTGAAGTCTGAAGGGATATACCGATAGATTCCAGCTGCAGCGGCAGCGTCCATCATGCGAGTAGGGGTGTCGTCTTGGACAAGAGTACAATCAACGAAAGCCTCATTGCCCTTCAAGGCGTCTGTGAGGGTGTCATGTGAGACGTAGTCAACAACCTTGACTGTGACTCCCTCTGGAAACGACCCTTGCTTGCGTGTCAGAACGGTGACTTGGAATCCATCCTTCACCAATGCTTTGAGAACGTGGCTACCAACGTTGCCGGTTGCCTAAGCTGCAGTTAGATAGGTATGCCCATGAGTCATGGGAGTTAAACTTACGCCAGCGATTGCTACTTTCTGGATTTTTGGTGCCATTTTTGATGTATAATGTCTTGAGATTGTGATAAAAGGTGTGCTTCACATTCAGAACTAGGTAGGCCAAAGACTGCGAGGGCCTATTTATGAGAACTACATTGTTATTTAAATTGCTCGACCAGCTTACAAATGCTACTGCCACCAGGTTACCTTACTGATGTTGGCCCCCAGGACGCTCTATCCCGAGTACGCGATTACGTTTCACCGCATTTGAAAGACTCCTGCAGTTTTACATGCCGTGATTATATCTCATCTTTGCTTGGTTGTCGACGTCGTGTTTGTATAAACAGGGGTCGGACTCCCGGTTTGGGGACTGCATCCCTCCGTCCCGAGTCCGAGCGGAACTTTGTTTGTGAACGTCACATTTTCATCTCAAGTTGCGGTCCGTTGGGGCAGTTCGATATTACAGTAATATGAAGCACACCAAAAACGCGTGTCTGTCTCAGGCCGTCCGATCTTTTCGGCTCCGTCGGCTTGATGGAACTCTTGACACAGACGCGCGGAGGTGTTCATTAGAGTGTTTATTGGAGTACAAAGAGCATTTTGTGGATAGATAACCTTGGTGCCAATGACATGTCACTGGTGTCGGGGGAGGTGCCAACACATTTACTTTGTGTGACAACCTCAATGACAGCTTGCAACCAGAAGGTCATTGCAGTCCCATAAAGTTGTTCGTCGAGTTTAATTAGACATTATTCACTGGACACGTGGTTGTGTATTGAATTGAATTCCAAGATATCAGACTACCGCTATTGACCAGCAACCCGTCTAATGATCCCCAGAAACTTTGCTCAACCATGCAATCTAGTGGGTGTTGGTAACAGAGAAACCCTTGATGGGGTAGTGGAAGTTGACGTGGTGAACCTCTGTCTTTCCAGAAGCGGGGACGTAGGCAGACTTGTCAGCGGCCTTACTCTTCTCGACGCTCTCCCATCCCAAAGCCGCGACAAACACCTTGCCACCGTCGACATCCTCCACTGACATACCACTGGCGAGGTCGTTCATTCCAGGCATGCCGCGGGCCTTGTCGATCTGGGCTCTCATCTCATCCTCGGACATTGACGAGCCGCTGATTGTGATGACCTCGGCAATCGGGGAGTCAATGGCGCCTCTCGGTGCGTAGGGAACAAACTTGATGAAGTATGACTTGACCTCGCCGTTGATGACAGTCTTGAAGTTGTCCATGGCCGACTTGCCCTCGGCAGAGGCAAAGAACTCGTCGCGAGCTTCCCTCGTCTTCCAGCCTGTTGATGCACGTTAACCACGTTGTATTCCATAAGACTGACTGCTTCGCTCGAGCCTTTTACTTACCAGAGATGACATCGAGGTATTGCTCATTCTCGCTCCAGGGTCCCCAACGAGTGCGGAGGTAGCCATCATGGGTCTTCAGAGCAAGGAGGTATGCCTTCAGGGGCTCCTTCCAGTCGTCGACACCGCCCTTGACGGGAATGATCTTGCGCTCGGTGACTCCAGACATGTTGTTTTTGTGTAAGTGCGGTCGATAAAAGTATATTGATAGTGTGGTTGGGTGTTACGACGAAATGTTGGACGGCCTTTGTATTTTCTTGTTGATGATTGGTTGTGATGTTGTGATGATGAATTGAAAGTTTCTCTGGCAGTTTAAGGGTGAGAAGCTTGATTATATACTATGGAAAGACGTCTCGGTATTCTCCCTCAGGCTAATTTCTGCTCACTTACTCACGACAAGTCCATCGTGATGCAAGACACAAAATGGACATGTCCGAAAACGATCGCACAGGGGCATGGCATGATCCTACGGACCGGCGGTCTTCGGTCGAGAGCAACACTCCATGCCCGTTCTAGGGGGGCCTCCCCGAGCCGCCGGCGCTCAGCTCAGCTATCGACGTCAAAATCATGCTTACCGCAGTCGTAATCATCTGTCAAATGCAGTGGGGCTACCTGAAATGGTGATCTTCTGGAAGGATGCTATCCGCGGTTCCGGCCCGGCATGGCGGCATCAGCACTTGCGCCATTGCGAACAGAAGGTCTTAGCTTCTGCGTGATGTTTCTGGGTGAGAGCAAGTCCTACCAATTGAGAGAGAAACCACCGAAAGAAAGGTTTCAAGCATATTTCAAAACTTCGGACGAACCAAGGTAGCTCGGAAATCGCCCTATAGAAGGAATGTGGAATGTGGCAGAAGCTCGGGTCACTTCCGGACAATACTGCGAAGCAGAACACGGACAATGCAGCATGTGAGCACGACGTCTGTCAGGCTGCAGATGGAAGGTAAGGGACGACTGGTTACCCTTTCCAGGTGTCCGATGCTTCGAAACATTGTCACGGACAAAGCCGGGGTTGGTTGGGGAGATGTGCAGGACGTCCGCAGCGATGTTTCAAAATGTCCCGAGGGAAGGGGACAGACATCTTGGTGGCCTGGCAACTGGAAGACAAGTGTTCATAACGTTCCAATAGCCTCTCGTATTCTCCAAGAGTTCGCAACTTGCGACACTAGCATTGACACGACCTGGTATCCTCACCTTATCGCTTTCGCACCTTCCCGCCCGGCGGTACGTCTTAACGGGAGAGTCCGCGCAACCAGCAGCGACGGCTACTCGCAGGATTTGAGGTCCGCTTCAGGCGGTCATCATAATCATGAAAAGACGGCCGCACGAAAAGTTTCACGGCGTATTATTACTCGTGTGTCTCAGAATTTTCGGCATACGTCCGGCTCTACTCCTGAGCGGCCCCGGGCCCTTTCGCCGGTCCGCAATACCGCGACAACTTAGCGGACAGGACTTCGCACTTACGGCCCGAGTTTTGACGCGAGTGCGATAGATGGGCGAAGCATGAAGACCTCAGCCACACCGGTATCATTTGCCCGACCGGTGCTACGAGCGTAAACCTCCGTCTAGGTGATCGATCGAGACGCGATCGAGATGCGGAAGGGTCTCGCAGCATTGCATGCTACACGAGTTTACATTCCGCTCATTGACTCATGTTCACGTCAAAACTCACTGGCGACTCTTTGGATACTGAAAGATTGTTCATGACGGGTAATAATTGTCTGGCTAATTCAAGTTCTCAACGTCTGATAAAATCGGCGCTCAAAATCACCAATCAAGCTTGGAGATCAACAATACATATTCAGTAACGTAAGTGACTAGACCATTTTGCCAGTAGACCTCATCGCTCCTGTGGCGGCTATCCTGGTAAGTTGAGCGCTCTTGCGCCCATGCCTGCCGTGCACCAAAAGCAACCTTGCACAAACCCCATCTTGCTAAACGCCCCATATTCCAATGAAATCTTCCATCGTAAAGGTGCTGTTGGTCGTATTTTCAGTTATCTTGAACCTTTGGAGAGAAATACGAAGACATGTAGAGACCCTTGGTGCCGTAGTTGTACGATACATATGACAGTCCTCCAGGCTTGGAGTAGTCTCGGCCGGGCCTATGAGCTTCAATTAGCCAGTGTATGCAAGATCAAGTTGAAGCTTCCTACTCACAGCTTGGCAGTTTCGTGGGCGCCTCTGGAAAACTTTTCTGCAGACTCGTCCCATCCTACATTCTGCAGGGCCTGCGTGAAGGTCTCAATCGTCTGTGCATCGCTCCGTGACGTCTGACCCCACGGCAAGTGAGCCTTGATGTCAATCCGGTCTTCATTCTGCTTCAGCTCGAATGCAAAGCAAATGCCCTTGTGCAAGTTCTGCATATCTCTGGCATCCTTTCTCTGGTTCGCGGCCATGCCTTCGGGCTCATCGAGAAGGAGATGCCAGACTTTCTCTGCGTATTCAACGCCCTTCATTGTTGCGTCGTCGGTCTGGGTTCCGCCAAGAGTGAGAACGTCTGCAAGTACCGCTTTTGAGTTCGACGTTGTGCGGGCATATACTTTGACTCGGGCCTTGTGGGGGTCGACGCAGTCAATTGCCATCATCTCGACCGGACAAGGCTCTTTGCATGTGGCAAGGTACTTCTGGAGCTTCTCGGATGCCTTGTAAAGCTTGTCGCCGCAGGGCTGCAGGTCGCGAATCATATCAAAGACCAGCTTTTCTGTTGTGACGTTGAGGGCGAAGTGCTTGAGGACGGGGAAGAAGTAGGCCTTCAGGAATCGCTGCGAGCGCTTCATATCGTAGGCGAGGAAAAGTTGTGGTACGCGCTTGACAAAAGCCGGCATCCGCGATCGAGCAATGGCGGCCTCTTCAGGTGTGACGAACCATCTTCGTAAAATCTGCTCATACCAGCGCATGTCGACTCCAGATGACACCTGCGAGAGGATCGGAATCATGGCAGCGCCAATCTCCCCAGCAAAAGGATCCTCATCCGAACCGGCGGAATCGCCAAGAGGCTCGAAGGTGTAGCGGATCACTCCGTCATCGCCTTTTGTGAAGTTCCACGATGGTTCGAACGTAGAACCGTCGTAAGTGAGCAGAGGTCGAACCTTGGCTTTGGGTGTCGGCAGGCCAAACGAGGGCACCACCACGTCACGGAAGACGCGCAGGTGGTCCACCTTCTCCTCAGGTGTGTACCCCTCAGCGCTCGTGAGCAGAGTGTTCAGCAGCGGCGCGCATCTATCCCACCACCACCTGTGCTTAGGGTTTAGGGGAGGGTCAATAGGAATAGTGCCTTCGGTGACAGCTGAGGGATGAGCTTTCAGAGGTGACTGAAGGCTATCGTTAGTGGTGTCGAGGATTGCAGTTGGTGCCATTGTCAAAAGATCAACAGAAGTTAATATGCGAGAGTCAAAATATTTAGGTGGGCGTTGGATAGGGTTCAGTTGCTCTCGGACGAAATGATGTGCAGCACGAGGTTGTCTTTATAACGTAGGCGATCAACATTCCATTTCGAGAGAGTCGCTCTTCAATGACACGGAGAAATTCTGCGGACGTCACAGTCCATGTCTGTCGGCTTTCAGGCGTTGACAGACAGGGAAATTCGTACGGCGACTATCGCGACTTCGGCAACATTGGCCGCGAGATACACTCGCGTTCCTCGCGTGATGAGAAATCGCAGGACTCAGGAGCCAGACTCTGGCCATGTCCGGT